GATGGTAAAATCCCTGTTTATATATTCACAAGTCCAAACACAATCAACCCAATAAATATATTATATACATACAATATTGTCTCATTCAAATAATAGTATAAAAATGTGGCCAAAAGTGGTACTGCAGCCTCTCCCACTCTCCCTGACTCAGGTTGCCAGATATGCAGACAAATCCAGCTGGGACCATAACAGCTGAATAGACAAGAGTTTTGTCAACAACAAATCTATAACCAACACCTTTTTCACAAAGATAGATGATTTGTTAGATGATCTCGTTAATGATTTGAGAATCATAATGAGACCTTTTTTAGTTCTGCACTACATGGTACTTTACCAGTGAGATTAGCTCCACACTGTGAGTTCTGGCGCCAAGATCACAGACTTTCTGATTGGTGAAACGGTGGAGGACGGGACATCGAAATGAAAACAACGATTTAGGGGCTGTTAACTTTGAAATAAAAAAATCTCTGAACTACTGTTATAAGTTAAAGAAGAATTGGAAAAGAGCATATTTTATGAATGCCTTTGTCAGATTATGGATGACTTTAAAGATGACTTGACATGAAAATCTTAAATATTGCTATTTTAAACATTGTTTTTGGCGATTGTGTAACCTGGATTAAAAACTAAATTGATAAAAACTCCTTTTAATATTATTTCTGTCTGTTTAAGGTGCATCACTATCTACAAATCATCCAGCTCTTCATTGCCCAGAGAAAACAAATATTACCAAGAAAACAATTCTACTATTCTACATTCCACCATTTTATTATTCTATACTATTCTGTACTCCAACCTAAAATATCTCACATTTGCATAAACCTAACCTTCACTCTTATGATTTTAATGCTTATTTTTATTTTTGTCGAGGACTTTGATTTGCCGTGTGTCTAAACTTGCCTTGCCCAAACCTTCACGTCACGCCGTTTCTAATAAAACTGTTGATCCATGTCTAAAAAGAGCAGCAAACCATTTCGTTTAACATGACAAATGTATGGCTGAGTCTGGACGCCTGTGAAGCACCAGAGCAGCTGCCTCTGAAGAGTATTGACCGCTCACATGAAACAAGCGGTGATTAAGAGTTCACGCTCCATGCATCACCAACACCTTGACATGTGCACTTTCAGCCGACATCTCGATAGCTGATCACCACTTAATTACCATCGACTAATCAAGAAATACATCTAAACTATTATATATTGAAGGTATGATCGGTTTTGAATCAGTACCACATATTGGGCTATTGTGGCCATTGTCTGATATTTGCCAATACCAACATAATGATCATCTGATGCATAAAAAGACCAATAAAAGTTCTCAAAACCTTACAATCATACAAAATATATACACAGTGTTTTGTGGATAATAATGCAAACATCAGGTTTGATCTGGACAGAAAAATTGGGGCAGAGAAAAAACTGGGAACATGTACACACTAAAAGTATAGGTGCAAAATAAAGGGATTGCTTTCTATCTCTGGGGAATTCTTCTGCAATTACCGAAAACCAATACTGACACAGAATCTGCCCATCTTGAAAGTCAGTCAGGAAAAACATTGACTTAAATCTGCCACTCTGATCGATCAGATTGACTTTTCAGTAATAATTGTAATGCATCCAGTATTTCGTTTTATTTTGTAATTGGGGGTGGGAGTAAACATGTATTTTACTTCTTCTCACTCCCTTTCAAGCACAGACCATTACCTCATAGTAAAAATTGTTTATAAATATATACACTATTGACTAAACGGTTTAAGACACCACCAGTTTTCTGATTATTTTAATTGTTATTGTTTTATGCTCAGGCTTGAAATAAAGGATCTAACCATTCATCCATTCATGATATTGTATTGCACTGTTATATGTACAACAATTACTGTATAGGAGAATGTAAATAATGCAAACACCCACACACAGAGGCAGGTGACGCATCTCTATTGTTTTTTATTGTCTTCAATGCAGGCAGCAAAGAAGGGTTGACCATGTAACGGAACTACTCTAGACCGTGGCATAGTATTGCTAATGATACACAAAAATCATTGATTAAATAAGACTGGAGTGATAATAAATCAGCCAATACAACCATCACCAGCCCCCGTCCTTTGGGGTAAACATGCCCACCCCCAACAACAAGGAGGAGCCAGACCATTCATGATTCAGTGCTCATTCCACTGCCTCATCCCAATCGTACAGATATTTTAAATTTTGGACACGATGGAGAAAATCCCAGTACTGACCCGTTGTCGAAAGCTGCTGTATAAAAACCATTTAATAGCGTTCAATCTCCTTTTCTTTGCCCAATATGATCACTGAGTGGCCAAAATAGATTGTAAAGCTCAATGAAGCAAATAGCTATTTGAGGGGGAAAAAAAGGAAATTAAAATATACCTATGCATTCACAATTAGACAAGTGTTGCAATGTGATCAATAATCTATTCCAGTTGTTTTTGGTCTCCTCAATGAAAAGGAACAAGCAATAATGACTCAGCAGCTGTTTCCCAGTCTATCTGACATAGGTTACATAAATATTACAGTGTGACACGACATTTGCCTTGATTTCTCAGTGAATATCCCGCTTTTTTAATATCCTTTAGGTTATGTGTTTACCACCGACGACAGCCTTTAGATTTCCACCGCAGAGAGCCAAGTTCCCGCAGTGACCGCAGTAGGTAGAGCCCTCTGGCAGCACAATGCAGTCGTTCCCAAGCATCAGAAATATGCATTAACAGCGGTGGTGAATAATTCATAGAGATTCTTAACAGTTTTTCTTACCTACATGGACCTGGACATGGGGCTCGTTTTAATTTGTATGTGATGTTTTTTTTGTCCAGGGAAAATTCCGCTGCTTCCACCGGCTCTGAAAAGAAACAGCCCAGTCACATCTTACAGTCTACGGCCACATCCAGAGAGGGGCTCCCCATCATTACAGCCCCAGTGCACACAGACATGTTTTCTGTTTTTATTGTACACTTAAGCGTTGTCTATCGATAGCTTTTAGCAATATTAACAGGCTGTAAATACATATGAGTGGAAATGTACCTGTTCGGCGCAGTGTCTTTTCCCAACTCAGGCGCTGTAGACACGGGTTTCGCAGCTTGTGTTACCGTAATGGTGGTATGAGGGGTGCAACTGACGCGGCGCACATAGTTCCTACATTACGGTAATACTAAAATGGACCATTAATACAGTCTATGGGACCATCGTTCTGTGTCTGCCTATGGGTCTGCCTCATGGATGTATTTCTGACTGATATTTCTGATATTCTGTCACTGGATCTCTGGAAATCCGATGATTTTCTAATTTCACTCAGGTTGGTAAACGTAGTGTGTATAATGCGAACCCTAATTCCATCACATTAATTAGGTACAACTGTCTTAAACAATTGAAAGTAGTTAGAATGTTACATCACACGTAGAAGATCTTTAAGAATAGTCGGACACCTCTCGAAATACTTTGGATATATTATACCCTAACCCTTGGATTAATATTTACAGACTTGGCGTTTTGGACACAGCCTATGCTTGGATCCCATTACTCTGGTCAATATAGATGAGATGCCGCCCCCTAGTGGCATTATGGAGTAAAGCAGAGAGGATTATTAGGGAAGATTCCATAAACGACTCTGCACTCTGCCGATTTTATAGATCCATGTGTTGCTGCCTGTATTTGCACCTATTTTTTATTGTATAGCACTAAGCACTTTACGGTTTTATTGGTATGGATTACGGTTCACTGTAAATAACAATATTTATACCATGTCATTCGCTAAAATTCCACTGCTTTCCCTTAATAGTATTTTATTATTGTAGGAATATCTATTATATGCCCTACCCCTTAAGCTCACGTGATTTCTGCTTTAAATATATCCCTCCAGGGATAATCAGAAACAGGTGTGCAGGATAGAGGCCTTTTTCCCGGCCAGGCTGTGTGCGGGACCTGGTGTGTGCGACTCTTGACCTGTTCTTATTCTTATTTTTCTTTTGAGACCGAAATAAAATATAAAACGAACCCTTTGGACTCAATGGTCATTTTGAGGGGGCAACACATGCACTCGGCACAAACGAGCGCCGAACTAGATTTTCAACAGTCTGTTCTCAGTGTAATCTTGAGCTCGGATGAACTCCTCCAGCTTTTCTGTTCCCTGTTCAACTGAAGAAGCGGGAGTCAAATTGATTATGCGTGAAAATGGATCATGATAGATCTATTATTGACCCCTTGAAATAATCTTTTTAATGAACTGTACAATTCATGTATAATTCATTGTTTACTTGTGTTGAAGACTACATTTACTAAGAAGGCATCTGTTTCATTCTCTTGTTTAATAAATATAAATAATTTGTTACAATCATAAAAAATAAATAAATATTTGTTTACATTTTAAGAAGAAATAAATATATTACATAGCTATACATAGATACAATAGACCAGAGAGTGCCATTGTGCTGACAAATACAGAAAACTTTAAATGAATTACAGTTGTGTACTGAAAACATCAACATGGCTGAAAAAGCACTGAAAAGGGATGACCAACACCTTTTCTTGGGAACTTTAGTAGTTCATGGTCCCTTAACTTCATAGTCATTAGTAAAAGTTGGTCAATAGCATTAGTGTGCAATATTAACAGTTGGAAATTGTTATACAGAGAATCTAAAAATCTGAAAATGACAGGTGATTATTAGTAATAATAGTAATCAAAAATAACCAGTCATCATACAAAGCAATAAAACACAGAATGATGAAAGACAAATCTTTTTACATTAGCTGTAGACGCTAAACAGATACTTGAGTTAAGTTAAAACTGACAATAGACTTACTGTATATGTAGTTATTGCAAAGCTGTGATTCTAAATGCTGTTATTATTATTCATTACTATTTTAACTTTTGTTCATTGACAATTGTAACAGAAGAACAAAAGTCTGGTATAGAACCACTAAAAGGTAAACATTAGAAACACTTTTGCAATAAATGCTCAGATTGATTGTTTGAAAACATCTTCACCTTCAGTGTTCCACATCAGTGCTGATTGTGTAGTTCATATAATGTCCAGAGGAGGGGGGCGTCGTGTCTGATGATTGAGGCTCAATCAGATCAGAGTTGAGGCTTGTTGATGAAGAGAGGCTCCGAGCACCACAGCAATCCGGGACTTCAGAGGAAAGAGACTGTTCATCAGCTTCATTCAGTGGAAACACTCGACGCTCCCAGGATGCTTGAGGCTGCCGGATAAAAATGGAAAAGAAAATGAAATAAAGCATTTTGAGGTGCAAAGGTATTTTTCCATCGGATTGGGATAAAGCATACATTATGTTCTTTTTGGACTATCCAACAATCAAAAAAATAAATTATGTAATCAAATGAGTTATCAACCGAAGGACAGAGCTGCTGATCTCAGTCTGTGTAGGAGCTGTGGATGAGGAGCATTTAGTAAAGTGGGGGTAAGCGCCACAATCAGTCTCCCTCATCAAGAGCAGCTAGCATCTGAACACTGGGAGAGTTCGTAACAAACATGACGATTACATTGTGTAGAGAAACCTCACAGTACAACAGATACAGTGCTAAAAAGGACTAGATTCCAAAAGGGAAACCCGTGGCTTTGTGGTGTTCAGACTTGTTGTTTTAATCTCACCAGACATTCCTCTGTGCTCAGCTGTTCGTCAGGATCCGGGTGAGTAAAACACTCCACAGATATTTCCTCTAAAACAACACTACAGCTGGAAATCCTACCACCAGATCTGGGCCCAGAAAATAAGGTTAGTAAGGTTTGAAATGAACAATAGTGTGTGACCTTATCTCACACTGTTTATTTCATTCCAGTGTCAGCACCTTGAAAAATTCCTGCAACGTCTCTTTCCCTTTAAAGTCCAACGCTGTTTCTCTTTTCGTTCTAAAGGTAAATGTCTCTGAGCAAAGATCTCATCTGTGATTATCTCAGTCTGCGCACACACATTTGGGTCAAGATTATTTGTAAAATCTGTGTAGAAAAGTATTAAAATGATTCATCAAATAAAGCAAACCTGTGGGTCTTCTTCAGAGTCAGCGTTATCTTTGATCAGAGCCGTGCTGTCAATCACCTCCCACCTGTAAACATGAGGCGGCAGTTCAACAGTGACTCAGGATCAGGGGAAATAAACTAGGATTTAATACAAACCTTGGTGTAAGGATATCTTTGTATTGAAGCTTTTCCACTTTGGCCAAGGAAGCTGGAATGACAACGTTGTCAATATTGAACACTCTTTTTCCATGACGTCTGTGCACAGCTCTCTGGAAAGATAGAAATGTTATATGGGCTACAGTTGCCTGAGTTCATTTCATCTTACCTTTGTGCTATGCTTTGGTGAAACTATGCCATGGCCTCTCTCAAACAAGTCATCTGAGCTGAAATAGTCATACTTATCTAAAAAAAAACATAAGTTTCCTCATTCATAACATTATGTACATGAACACTAAACCAAACCAGTGGATAAGCAGTTCTGAATAAGGCTGAAACCTTCAGTGAGGCGGTGTCTGCGCCGCCTGCTCCTCTTCCTCTCATGGAATCTGCGGTGTTTCCTCTGAACACAATCAAGTTTGATGGAAGACATTCTCAGCACTCTCTTGTTATAGTTCTGCCTATATCGTGTATATTTATGACCTGTAATGAAATATACTTTGACAAAACACACAAAAGTATATAATTTAACACTAAACTAAACTCTATTAAAGTGAATGGATGAAAGAGTAGAGTATAGTAGCATATTTTGCATGTATTGAGAAGTCTTACTGGACAATGGTGTAGAGCAGCGCCGTCTGTCATATAAAGGACTGAATGGAAGAGCATTCAGAACTAGAGGGGTTTGCGACCATTCTTCTCTTGAAAAGCCTTTTATGAAGTGACTTGACACAGAGGAGTCTGAAGAGACGACACAATGTACCATGAAGGGAACAAAAGATAAATGATAACACTAAACTATTATAATACTGTAAAAAGCCTACCTCCATGGTTAGAATGACACATTCTGACAGAAAGTGTGGAACTATCCATATCAGAGGATGTCAGCAGTGGATTACAAGAGGAAGAGCAGCTGGAGCAGGAACACAAGGCCAGACCAGACCGAGGGGATGGAATCTGTAGAAAAATGTAATAATATGAGTGTAAATACAGTTACACAAACTATATTTTTAACGGTGAAATGTCATATTACTGTAAAGAAGTTATAGTAAGGGTGTGGAAAAACATTGAGCAACTGGTAAGGATAATACCACATTTGTATTTCTCTTACCTTTGAGCTATTGTTATTACACATAGGAGTCAGTCTAAACAATCGAGGCTTGTGATAGGACACCAGGGGGCGTGTGCGGGCGCAGATGCAGGACATGTCATCTCTGAACAGTTGCCTGGCCTTGACACTTAACTTCCTCCTCTTTGCGTTTCCAGAAACTAAAAAATCTCTGTGGAGCAAGGATCCGAACAAATGCATCATATTACTTTAGTTTGATAAAGGAGACACATGCAACAGGTTTAGTAGCTCAAACAATTATATGTAAAAACAAAGCAGGGGTAACTAACGTTTATGTTAATAATTAATAATAATAAATGCTGTTTGACCCAAAAGAAGCAATATTAGAAAAGTAAAATATTGTGAACTAATCAGACCACAGCATGCAATCTTATTAGAAAATATATTTTATTTTATTTATTCTTTTGCATGTAAATAAGCCCTGTGAGTCACAATTTAATTCAGTCTGCTGAGACAGGGTGATCCCCTCTTATTTCTGTCTGCTAACGCTGATATAAAGACGTAATTATTTTAAAGGGTTATGAACTAATGACATGGTTTTTATAGCTTCAAAGTTAGGTACCCCATCTTTAGGGTGGATATGTTAAAAAATGTGACATGTATATTTTGTGCGGCCCCTGTGTGCTCTTACTACTGTCCTCTATGTGCGCTGCAACATTGAAATTTCCCCACTGTGGGACGAATAAAGGTTCTCTTATCTTAAATATCAGATGTAAATGTATTGCATCCTGTATGTTAAAAGATATGCATTTTCTACCTGTTAAATTTCTTGTCTGAAATTGGAGAGAGGTTCAGAGGTAGCAGGAGGCTATTGACAATCTGGCTGAGCTGTGCACTCTGAAACAAAAACAAACATTTGAAGTATAAATGGACTAATATAGTGTAACTCATCGGAAGTAATAAAGTGAACAAAGTGTAGCCTGGATGAACCTGTCTCTCTATGTTGTGCAGAAGACGAGTAGGGCTGCATGCTTCATTGTCTGCATCCGGTGTAGTTCTAGATAACGTCTGCATTTCTCTCAACTTTTGCCGTCTTGTTATAGCTGCAGAGTCTGCGAGCATAACACAGCCCTAAAAGATGTTTGTTAAAGTGAATGTCTGTATCATCCAATCAGCAGCCACTATGGTGCATGTTTTACCTTTGCAGAGCAGATGTTGTCATGGAGTTCAGTAAGTTTCTGTATCCGCCCTTCCAGCTCTGACACACGCAGCTGTAACCAAGTCCATCTGCTGCTCAGCTCTGCTCTCTCCGTTAGCCACTGCTCCTCACACAAGGGCGAGGCTCTAGGAAAACATAGCCCTGCTTTAGACAGATGCATGTCAAAAGGACTGAAAACTTTCAAATAGACTTCTGGACAGTTTTTGCAGTCATGACTTTTCAACTTCCACCTGGTAGTCATTCCAAACACAGATAGAAGTCTAAACGTATTCATTACAAAAACAGGGGCCAGATGGTACCCTTTCCCCTGTGGAGCACTCCTGGACGCATGGAGGATTACATTAACTTGAGAATAATGTGCATTTAGATGAACTTATTAAGCAGTACTATACCCAATACCCTACACACACTTGAAATTATGAAGTGTTTTTTCAATTGCATTATCTAATTGTCGTAAGTATCTCAAACCAGATCCCAGGAAGAGCAGCTGTCCACTTGGCCACAGTTACTGCGGATTCAAAGAAATAAACGAATGAATGAAGCCCTTAATAAATAAATACCAACAAAAGCACTTGTTTGAGTACAGCTCTGCAATTAATTGATTTTTAAATTCTGGTTTCAGCTATTGCCTCTATTCAATTACAAAAATATTATTGTTTCATTTTCTGAATACATTATTTTAAGACTTTCCCCACAGGTTAAAATTCACTCTATTACCGCAAGTTAAATTTGACATTACTTCCAGTGGAAAATTGATTATTATTATTGTGAATAATTTACCATAACAGACCTAATGTATCACAGTAGGTCTATAAACAGTGTCCAGAGCAGGCTACAACATTAAAACGTGTTGAAATTAAGAGATACGATTGCTGGCAGAGAAATGCAGACGACTGCGTTGGCATGGCAGAGCTCTTGAAACTTGGATTGGCCAGTGAGCCTTACCCTCTTCAAATGGTCACACTACACACACTGAAAGGTTACCAATCAGTCACCAAGCTGCTCCGTCAGTGGGGGAAGACTTACAACTTACATGGTATTAGTAGTCACACATATACTTCCTGTCCTACTATTACATATACTTGCAAGAAGCCCTCCAGAATCATTGAGGCAGGGATTGTGAGTGGATGACAGTTCATATTCAGCCCTCTCATTTCTTGCATCCCATAGTCAACAGCTTGTGCAGTGTAAGTGCATCTGTTATAGGGATAAAGGTCTGCTCATACTCAACAAAACCAAACATGTGGACTGCGTGAACAAAAAATATATAATTTAAAGAATGCTCTTGTCCAGAAAGAACAGCTTGAGAATGAACTATTTGGGGTCCACGGGGGAAGGAGACGATAGCAGAAGAGTAAATAGAGATATTTTTTACAGGTTGCCACAGACAAAAGGACCAGGCTGAAGCTAAAAGCACTGTCAGGAAATAACTATTTTCATTGGAGTTTAAAGAGAAAAAGGCATCCTGTGCTTTAGCCTATTGTCCTGTTTATTGCAGTCTTCCTCTAAGTGTTTATAGTGCAGGTGGAAAATGTTTTAGTTTTAACAAAACAATCAATTAATTACATAATATATGTTATAAAATGGTAGGTATTTTAACTCAGCATCTAATTTTACTCAATCTCCTGCACATCTGACCACACACATGAAATATGTTTGCTCCAGTTTTCTGACGTCAGAGGGAGGAGTGCAGAGCGCTGTGGCTTCACACTATTTTCTTGCCTCAGGCTAAAAGGAGCGTTTGACTGTGGGGCTGGAAAATAACATGAATGGAGAGTGCATTTCTGTAATCTGTCTTCACTTGTTTGAGTCAGAGACAAACATGTGTTTACAACCACATTAACTACAGCTTATGCAAGTTAGATAGAATATTGTAAAAAGACGAATGATTTACACAAATAAGTGCATGAGTAGACTATAGATAGGTATATGAACCCTCACTATATTGTGAATTGCGATCAAATGGTAACAAAAATATCCTGTCTTTTTGTTTTTTTTTTACTTCTGTTTTTGTGTTTTTGAGCATAGCAACACTGTACGTGAAAAGCTTAGCAAGAACTGGCAGCGACAGAGCAAACGTCAGTAACAGCATTCGTAGTTTACAGTACACTCACACACTCAGATGTCTGTCTGGAGCAGCCGTCTTGGTCTCCACAGTTTCGTCATCTGAGCTGGAGCTTGCTGTGGCCTCCGAGTCCAGCTCTTCCTGCAGAGCCCTCAACACCGCGAGGCTGCACTGACCGAACTCTTTAATCTCTGTAAAGTGAGGCGAGGATTCGGACAAACAAAACTGCTGTTCACTCTCCGCCTGTGAAAGTTCAGCAGAAAACCCTGCACCTGGCTCAAAGCCGCATGTTCTCAGTCCTTCCAATTGCTGATCGCAGTGGAGCAAGGCCTGTTTCCCCCGAAGACTTTGGAGTCTCCTTTGCAGCTTCTGAGCTCGACTGCAGAGATCTATCTGCCTCGAGACTTTTTGCTCTATTCGACTTTGCAGTTCTAACCCAGGAACCAGCTGATCTAACGTGCATTGCTGTTGTTTTGATACAGTGTTGGCTGTCAACACAGAACTGTAATGAGCAAAAGGAGGCGATAGATTAGAAAGATTAAGCTGTACATCATTGGTAGAGCTGGGACTGTGGTGAAAATAGCTGTCTTGATCACTGTCTGCAAGAAGACACATGTCAGACACATTGGGGAGAATGGGAGCTGGCTGAAAGTAGGAGTCCAGAGATGGTAAAACAGAGAAAACTGTCTTCTGAAGGTCCTCTGAGGACTGGAGCGGGGAGTCCAAGGCAGGAGGTGATGACAAGTGGATGCCATGACCGTCTTTGAACTTGGTGAGGGCTGGAGCCATAGGGTTTACAAACAAACTGAAGAAGAAAAAAGAGCAAGACTTTAAGGGTCCAGGGCTTTGATTTGTGGAATCTGTGGACAACAAAACAGATAAATACTATACAGATCACATTACTCTAAGACATCAGCGTTTTTCAAACTGGATACAAGACGAAACAGCAGATAATAAAAGTAGTATGAGCAGGTAAAACATCTGTTGTGCTAGACAATACATTTAAACATATTCAGTCAGGAGGGGATGATTTATGCGGTCCACCTGGTTAAACATTTAATTTGGTTAAAGTTTTTCCTGCTGATGGCGTCCTTTCTGCCAGAACATTTACAACGTCAGTAGATTTGCATGTGGTGCTGTTCTGTTAACTGTTAAATATTACGTTTTTTTTTGTCCCAACAACAAAAATGTCTATATTGTCAACACAGAGCAAAATATGTTGCTGTCTTCTTCTGATCAAAGCTAGCTATAAAACTTGCCTGAGCAGGGGTCCTCTATTTTACAATCTTACTGTCTGAAATGTTGATCTAAAGACGAGACCTGCCTAAAAATATATACAAGTTACATTGATTTCAGTAAATATTTTTGTGGTTTCAGTTTATGTTGACATCTAGTTAAACAGGCATGTCTTGGATTAAAATGAAAGCATGTCTCGCTGCAGATTGACTTACCAGGATTTTGTCAGTTAAAGCAGTTAGTTAGTCTGCCAGTGTTTTAAAGAAGCGCGCTCGTGCTCAATAACGGAGGTTCATAACGGTTAAAACGTTGATCACGTGAGATAAACAGATGGATTCAAATAGATAATTCCCCAAATGCACGTCAGAAAAACACAATAATATACATTTTTTAGCTGCTACTCTAGTTGAAAGTTGAATGTGGACATAATAAAGCCGGTGTCCGGGTTAGAGTAGATCTGTCTCCGAAGTGTCGAGAACAGACCGCGAGGAGGAGGAGGAAGAGGAGGAGGGAGGAGGAAGAGGAGGGAGGAGAAAGAGGAGGGAGGAGGAAGAGGAGGAGGGAGGAGGAAGAGGAGGAGGGAGGAGGAAGAGGAGGGAGGAGAAAGAGGAGGGAGGAGGAAGAGGGTTGTTTACTTTACTTTGTGCTTGAAGTAAAGTAAACAGATATAAAACCATAATAAACCATCCATGCTATAAGACCGATATTTTCCTTGCCATAGACTGCAAATATTAGTGAGACATTTAACGGACGGATTAGCATAAGATTAGCATACGGAAATATATTTTTGTGACTATTTAGACATTTAGGTTATTTATTATTACACTAGAAAAACACAATATTTCATTCTTCATATGATACAAAACATGATTCTGTAACACAATCTCATAAAAGTTAGTTTGTGGTTAGAGATTCAAGTTTAAAGTAAAGTAAATGACAGTGTGTTTGTACGTGGTTTGTCTATATTGTTCATAATCATTCTGCTGAAGAATAAATGTTTACAATCTACAATCAATGCTCTCTTTATATTACAGCTAATATAAGATTATAACTTTATTTATTTTTATTTATTTGTTTGTTTATTTGACAGGGACATTACACAATAAATGTTCAGACCGGATATAGCTACAAGCTAATTTTCATCGTAGTCCCTGAACTTAACTGAACTGGTATAGCTGTCAAAATGTTCTTTGTTGTATCCTGATGTAAACAATAACGTTCTGGGTTTTTGTCAGTCTTTTTTGAAAACCCCAAAATGACCATAATGTTGTTGATGTTACAGTTCCGGCTGTGACCGCTAGGCGTCACCGCCTCCCTTTATGTGGGTGATTCTTCAAGTCTGGGTTCTGTTTTCAAAAAATATTGTTTTGTGTAGTGTTGAAGTTGATGGTGGTTTTACGATTACTATTACATTTCATTTTATTTTGTGGTTTGCATATTTTCACATTTTAAAAAAAACTGCTATCATGCGAATCTCTAGTGTAAGCTTTGGCCATAATAATACACAAAATACTACAACTGAAACATTTTTTTTCAATATGAGTAAGCCAAAAAGTTTTTTCTTAAATTTTAAAACTTTACCTTGACTTTTTTTTCTTGGACCTGGGTATGGATCTATTATAATAACGGACCTGGGTCTGCTACATGCTAACACTGCTACATGCTAACAATGCTACTTTTTTTGTTTTTGTTTAATGTATTATTATTAGGCCCGAGCCCCGAACGGGGAAAGGGCCTATTGTTTTTGCTCGAGAGATGTCAAATTCTGCACTTTGAGCCTTAATTTCACCCCCTGAACATGCATGAAAAGTTGTAAAATTTTGCCCAAACATCAGACCTGGTGAAAAATTTGATATTTTGGTGTTTATTTTTATGGGACTCAAAAAATGCCAGAACAGCGCCACCTACAACAGCCAATGGGAGTTTCAGAGGTCAAGTTTGTCGTAGAGCCATGAAATTCGGTACACATGTTCCTCAAGTCAAGATACAACCGAAATATTATTATGGCACCGCTCTCTGACAAACAGGAGGCCCATAAATTTCACTGCAAAATGGAAAAATGATCCGCAATCATTTTCATACATGTCGGTTGGAAAGCGATTCCTCCTCGGCCGTTTTACCGATTGGCCTCCATATCACTCCACATTGTCTAAACACATGTACCATCAAAATGACCTCAGGGATTTTTGATCAGTGAAACGCTGTTTGAGCAGCGGAGCGGTGAAATGTGAGGGTTTTTTTGGCCGTTTTTGACAACATTAATTTTTTTCCCGTGTGCACAAACAAAGACTGATTTGCATTAAACTTGAATCCATTGTTCAACTCCAGGGTTTAGGTCAGGTGAAAGTGAAATATTTGAAATTGGCCCATTAGCGCCCCCTACAGACTGATTCAAAGTTTACATGGGGAGCCAAACCAGCTCTACTTATCATATTCATTACAATTTGACTAACTTCTTCTATGGCTACGGGAACAAATCATCACACGGCGGTGCCACCTCCTATGCGCGGTGCTGCGTGGTACGGTGTGGTGCGGCGTGTTGCGGCTTGGTGCGGGGCGGCGTGATGCGGGACAGCGTGGTGCAGGGCGGCGTGGTGCGGGGTGGCTTGGCACGGGGTGGTGCGCGCGGTGCGGGGTGGCTTGGCACGGGGTGGTGCGCGCGGTGCGGGGGGTGCGCGCGGTGCGGGGAGTCGCGCGGTGCGGCGAGGGCCGTTTGACGCCGCTTGCGGCTTTAATTATTTATTTTTTGCTAACAATGCTACATGCTAACAATGCTACATACTTACACTGCTACATGCTAACAATGCTACATGCTAACAACTGCTGTCCCAGGGGTCACCAACGCGGTGCCCGCGGGGACCAGGTCGCCCGCAAGGACCAGATGAGTCGCCCGCTGGCCTGTTCTAAAAATAGCTTAAATGGCAGCACTTACCAGTGCTATTCTTGTTTAAATCATACTTACATGCAACTTACAAATGGCATATAAACTAGAGCCGGGACTTTAACAAGTTAATAAAGATTAATTAATTACACACAAAAAAGCGCGTTAAAAAAATTATGCATTTTAATCGTATGTATTTTTGCACCGCGGAACATTCCTCACTGAATAAGTTTCAGACGGACCAATTGAACTGACGCACCAACCGGAGCTCCGAGACTTTTTCTTGTTCAAAAGTACATTATTACAAGCAGAGACCAACTTTAAATTCGAGTAAATTAGGCGGGAATGAGCGCTGTGTATGGAGCGATGGACTCTGTGTGTGAGGAGGAGGAGCAGTGACTCCTGTGTGAGCGGAGGAGGAGAAGGAGAAGGAGAAGGAGGAGCGAGACACAGGTGTGTGAGCTGCTAATCCTGATGTTTACTCCGAATGCACACATCAAAAACGTATTATAAAAGCTTTAGCAAACAGCGCATGCCCAGCTTTAGTGCTCACAGCGTGTGCAGTGGATTTTGGGCTTAAAAAGAGTATGTTGTCGTCAGTGTGAGGAGGAGGAGGAGGAGCATATGTTGTCGTCAGTGTGTGGAGGAGGAGGAGGAGGAGCATATGTTGTTGTCAGAGTGAGGAGGAGGAGCATATGTTGTCGTCAGTGTGAGGAGGAGGAGGAGGAGCATATGTTGTCGTCAGAGTGTGGAGGAGGAGGAGGAGCATATGTTGTCGTCAGTGTGAGGAGGAGGAGGAGGAGGAGCATATGTTGTCGTCAGTGTGAGGAGGAGGAGGAGGAGCATATGTTGTCGTCAGAGTGTGGAGGAGGAGGAGGAGCATATGTTGTCGTCAGAGTGTGGAGGAGGAGGAGGAGCATATGTTGTTGTCAGAGTGTGGAGGAGGAGGAGGAGCATATGTTGTCGTCAGTGTGAGGAGGAGGAGCATATGTTGTCGTCAGTGTGAGGAGGAGGAGGAGGAGCATATGTTGTTGTCAGAGTGTGGAGGAGGAGGAGGAGCATATGTTGTCGTCAGTGTGAGGAGGAGGAGCATATGTTGTCGTCAGTGTGAGGAGGAGTAGGAGGAGCATATGTTGTCGTCAGAGTGAGGAGGAGGAGGAGGAGGAGCATATGTTGTCGTCAGTGTGAGGAGGAGGAGGAGGAGCATATGTTGTCGTCAGTGTGAGGAGGAGGAGGAGGAGCATATGTTGTCGTCAGTGTGAGGAGGAGGAGGAGGAGGAGCATATGTTGTCGTCAGTGTGAGGAGGAGGAGGAGGAGCATATGTTGTCGTCAGAGTGAGGAGGAGGAGGAGGAGGAGCATATGTTGTCGTCAGAGTGAGGAGGAGGAGGAGGAGGAGCATATGTTGTCGTCAGTGTGAGGAGGAGGAGGAGGAGCATATGTTGTCGTCAGAGTGTGGAGGAGGAGGAGGAGCATATGTTGTCGTCAGTGTGAGGAGGAGGAGCATATGTTGTCGTCAGTGTGAGGAGGAGTAGGAGGAGCATATGTTGTCGTCAGAGTGAGGAGGAGGAGGAGCATATGTTGTTGTCAGAGTGTGGAGGAGGAGGAGGAGCATATGTTGTCGTCAGTGTGAGGAGGAGGAGCATATGTTGTCGTCAGTGTGAGGAGGAGTAGGAGGAGCATATGTTGTCGTCAGAGTGAGGAGGAGGAGGAGGAGCATATGTTGTCGTCAGAGTGAGGAGGAGGAGGAGGAGGAGCATATGTTGTCGTCAGAGTGAGGAGGAGGAGGAGGAGGAGCATATGTTGTCGTCAGTGTGAGGAGGAGGAGGAGGAGCATATGTTGTCGTCAGAGTGTGGAGGAGGAGGAGGAGCATATGTTGTCGTCAGTGTGAGGAGGAGGAGCATATGTTGTCGTCAGTGTGAGGAGGAGTAGGAGGAGCATATGTTGTCGTCAGAGTGAGGAGGAGGAGGAGGAGGAGCATATGTTGTTGTCAGAGTGTGGAGGAGGAGGAGGAGCATATGTTGTCGTCAGTGTGAGGAGGAGGAGCATATGTTGTCGTCAGTGTGAGGAGGAGTAGGAGGAGCATATGTTGTCGTCAGAGTGAGGAGGAGGAGGAGGAGGAGCATATGTTGTCGTCAGTGTGAGGAGGAGGAGGAGGAGCATATGTTGTCGTCAGAGTGAGGAGGAGGAGGAGGAGGAGCATATGTTGTCGTCAGTGTGAGGAGGAGGAGGAGGAGCATATGTTGTCGTCAGTGTGAGGAGGAGGAGGAGGAGCATATGTTGTCGTCAGTGGTGTGAGGAGGAGGAGGAGGAGCATATGTTGTCGTCAGAGTGTGGAGGAGGAGGAGGAGCATATGTTGTTGTCAGAGTGTGGAGGAGGAGGAGGAGCATATGTTGTCGTCAGTGTGAGGAGGAGGAGCATATGTTGTCGTCAGTGTGAGGAGGAGGAGGAGGAGCATATGTTGTCGTCAGTGTGAGGAGGAGGAGGAGGAGCATATGTTGTCGTCAGTGTGAGGAGGAGGAGGAGGAGGAGCATATGTTGTCGTCAGTGTGAGGAGGAGGAGGAGGAGCATATGTTGTCGTCAGAGTGAGGAGGAGGAGGAGGAGGAGCATATGTTGTCGTCAGAGTGAGGAGGAGGAGGAGGAGGAGCATATGTTGTCGTCAGTGTGAGGAGGAGGAGGAGGAGCATATGTTGTCGTCAGAGTGTGGAGGAGGAGGAGGAGCATATGTTGTCGTCAGTGTGAGGAGGAGGAGCATATGTTGTCGTCAGTGTGAGGAG